CCCAAGAGGAGAATGGAGGAAAAGGGATTGCGGCGTGGCCATCCCCTCTGGGGGGTGATTTCTCGCTTTCTGTCTCTCTGTCTCTCTCTGTCTGGCGAGCGCATGCGCCCTATAGTGAAAAACCTCTCAAAAAAAAAAAATTGTACTAGTTCAAACACAATTTTAAAAAAAAAAGAGAGAGAGAAAAGAAAAGCTTTGGAATTAATGTAATCAATAGCCTTTTAAAAAAAGTGCAGCAATTGAATGCTAAGATGCATAAAACCATGTTGTTCTTTTGTTTGAATATCAATGTAGCAAAGAAATGGAGAAACCCTGTAGAGTTCTATTTGTAAAGGCACTTAGAGTACCTAAGTCATAATCATAATATCTTATGTCATGTGCATGTTGTCCAGAGCAGTGAGGGTTATAATGATAAACAAGACATAATATAACACAAACGACCTCAAAGTGCATCTTGGGGCCAGGTGGTGGCTCAGTGGTAGCTCAGCTGGAACCACACGGGGAAAGTTCAGTCCTGGAACCTCCCTTGGCATGCTAAGTGCATATGCAAACCTGTGTTCCAGGGATGACTGAGACTGGAGACGGACTGCAGTGTGAAGACCCCATTGTGGGTGCTTGACTCTCTCTCTATTTCCCTCTACCTCTCTCTCTTTCTTTCGTGGATATAGCATAAATAAACTTCAAGAAACAAACAAAAACTTGACATTTATTGGCAAATGTGCTACATTTTCTACTGGGACACTAAAAGAAGCAGCAAATGTCATGTAGTAAGCAGTAATAATGGTGAGAAAACCAAAAGCCAATGGATTTGATTGTTCAAATAACTTAGTTGGCTTGTGTGAAAATAAGATAAGTTTCTGGAGAAAAGCATTAGGGTAAGAAAAGAAATGGGAAGTCAATGGAAAATAAAATCCTATGGCACTTCGTATCAAACAGCAAGTTTGGAAGGTATAGTAGCAGGGAGGGTAACAGTAGAGGCTAGAGATGGTAAGGATAGGGGTGATGATGGGATAGATAATGGAGGGAAGGGAATGGGAAGAAAAAGAAAAAAAAGAAAAGCTATTCGCTGATGATGACGTATATAGTAATGTCTTTGTCTTGACTGATACACATGGTAATCATACTGAAGAAAGAAATGTTACACACTGTAAAGGTAGATGTGATTAAATGTGATATACAAAATAATTAAATCATTAATTTTTTTAAAAATTCTATGGTACAGCCTCTCAGATTACAACCATGTGAAGGAAAGAAAATGTATGAGGATTTAAAGTTCCATATTAAACTGAAAGGGGAATACAGAATCATTTTTCCTATTTATGTTTGTGTGTGTGTGTGTGTGTGTGTGTGTGTGTGTGTGTGTGTGTGTATGTGAATGGCTTCAGACAAATGTGGACAGAAGAAAATGTGAAAACATTGCTGCTTGATTTTGAATAAAATTTGGCATTTTCAGTGAAATAATCTCTCTGGAGAAAATGATATGATGACATTAATATGTCATTGAAGAAAAAGTCAACCGACACCTCACTTTTGTTTTGTATTATGGTTTTCTTGTTGGAAAATAAGTTTTAGAATTATTGGCTACTTAACCATTCACTAAATACCTTTATAAAGAAAGACCAAGGCCAGCAGATGGCATGGAGATTTACACAGCTAGATCCCAAATGGTCAACTGTGTGGTTTTAGTCCCAGATACAAAGGTTTGAAAATCACACCAGTGCTTATGCATGTGTGCCCAAAAATCTCTAAAGGAAAATGTAGGAGAGAGAATTGCAGCATGTCCATTACCTGGAGGAGTGGGGGTGTGAAATCTCACTCTCACCCTATTTACCTCCCTCTGGTAAGCACATGCACCCCATAGAAAAATTAATGTTTACTTCACTCATGTGGGTGCTTAATGTGCACTATCTAGGTTTGGTGTGGGTTTTGTTTGTTTGTTTGTTTGTTTGTTTGTTTTTTCTTTTATTAGTGAGAGAGACAAAAAGAGACAGACAGGCACTCCAACAGAGACTTCACACTAGAGTCCACCCATACATAGAGCCAGCTTGTTTCATGGGCACACACACACCTGGCATGGTCAGGAAGGTCTCCAGATGTGAACGTAAAACATTCTAATGGGAGTCTGTCTTGCAAAACTCTGTATTACTATTCTGCAAAGTCTTGCCCTAACAGTCTATCTTTGATCATGTTGATTCTATTTTATTCAAGCCAATATGAATTACCAGTAAAAATAAAAATAGAAAAGATACTACTTTGGAATAAAAATAAATAAATTAAAAGATATTGGATCAGCCAGTGGCATGGTGGTTGAAGAGATGGATCCCACATAGCCAACCAGCAGTTCCAGTCCCAGACCCAGCAGCTTGAAAAACACTCTCAGAGAGGGTGAATGCCCCAAATCCCAATAAGAGAAGTGGAGAAGGGATTGTGGTGTGGCCATTCCCCATGAGAGATGGTTTTTCACTTTACCTCTATCTCTTTCTCTTTCTGTCGAGCACACACCCTCTCTAGAAAATAAGTATATAAATAAACCAATATTAATTTGGTGTAAAAATAAGTTGGATTAATGGATAGATCTGTGAAAAACCAAGTATAGGATAATGTAAATTACACAGTCTGGTAGATGGAATATAACTGTTTAATCTAAAAGTATTTCACTTTTTCTGTGTTTGACATTTTCGTACAATTTTAGAAAGGAAATAAAAAAAAACTCAAAAGGACAACTTGAAATATTGGTGCCTAAATAAATAAATAGGTGATTTCATTTTTTGAAATGACCTATTAAGAACCTTGTCAGTATAAAGAGTAAAATTAAGAAAATGTTACAAAAACTAAAGCCTTCTATTAAAAATCTCAAACTTGCCTTTTAGGTAGATAATAGAATGACAGAATAGTTACCTTAGTTGAAAATACTCATTTATTTTGAAATACATACTTCTTATTGTCCCGCCAATACATTGGTGGTATGTTTTGTTAGTATTTTAATGGTCTTGTCACATAGATGTCACTGATGAACCTAGTTCTATTTTATAAACTTATAGTTCTCACAAAAATGGTCCACATGACACAAGTTCGATTTTTCTTTCAGATCTAGAACTCAGCACAGCAACAATTCCTTGACTAAAACACCCAAATTATCTAGAACAAATCAAGTAAATATGGCAATAATTTCTTTTTTAGGTTTTTGCCATAGAGCACATGTGTTTATCAGAGCGAGAGAAACAGACAGAAACAGAGAGTGGGAAAGGGAGAAATCACTCCCCTCAGGAGGAATGACCACACCACAATCCCTTCTCCTCCATTCTCCTCCTAGGAGTTTGGGCATGCATGCATATGTGCCCAGCATGATTTTCAAGCTGCTAGGTTTGAGACTCAGACTGGGGTAAGCTGTGTGAAAGTCCAGCACCTTAACCACCACACAATCTGCTGGTCCCTGACAATAATCTTTATTGATTATTGTCATGAAAAAGAGCTTTCTATCTTTTTTATACGGTTGGCTTATATTCTTTTAAGTATTATTTCCTCTTGACGTCAAATTAGAATTTTCATTGAGAGTAAACAAGTCCACACTGGCTTAAAATGGACTAATTGAGGAGTACCACTTTTCTTATCCGCGGTAAACATTATTGCATTGTCATTGATTACTAGCTTCTCTGAATTACTGCAAGGATTTCTTTTCACAGCCAACACTGGGTTCACAAGATTTCTCCATGGCTTTTCCGGACTTACAAAGCTACAAGTGCCCAAAGACTGTGCATTGGCAGTTTCAGTGTTCCTAAGTAGGCATGAATCTCAGAAATCCCAGACAAGCTGATACTGATCCTTCAGAAAAGTTATGTACAAAGCAAGCATATCTGCCAACCTCCTTCAGAAACAGGGTCAAATAACCAGTTGGACATTTTTCTAAAAGTTCACATTAAACTTTAATAATACCTACATTTTTATGGGGCTTTTAACTTTCCAAATTGCCTTCACATGCATTAGCTCATTTCATGTCCTATTGCAATGAAACAGTGTCTAGGTTTTAGGGCTGAATTACCATTATACAGATACAAAAATGTTGACAGGGACTTTTCAAAAAAATTATCATTACTATGCCAAGTGTAAGTATTTAGCAGACATTGCCTGCCTTCGAGACTCAGAATTAAAAAGGGTTAGCATTCAGATCAGTCCTCTAGCTGTTTGCTGCTTGAACTTTATCAATCATTTTGCCTTTCTTTTTCTCCCTCCCTCCCTCCCTTTCTTTCTTTCTTTCTTTCTTTCGTTCTTTCTTTCTTTCTCTCCTTCTTTCCTTCTTTCCTTCTTTCTTTCTTTTTCTTTTACTTTTTCTTTTTTCTTTCATTTTCTTCTTTCTTTCTTTAGTCTTTCTTCTCTTTTTTGTTTGGTGAAATTTATTTCTTCCATGACCAAAAGCAAAACAAACCATAAAAAAAAAATTAAAATTAAAATAAAAAGAGAGAGAGAGACACAACATTCCCAATAGGACCTTGACACCACAGTCCACTACCAACTTCCACTAGTCCTGGATCATAGGAAGGCATGTGCCTGGTCTACTCAGGGAAGTCTTGAGATGCAAAGCCAGAGCATTCCCATGTGGATCAGCTTCACAGAGCATAGTGATTTTTGGCTGCACCACTCCCCTGCCATTAGCCTTTTGTTTTTTTTAGTTTTAATTGCATTTTATTTTTCTATTTTTATTTCTTTATTTTATAATTTCCTATTTACAGTTAATCATTGGACATCTTTATTGAGTGCAACATAGTTTTTCAAAGCATGCATGCAGTGCGTGATAATTAAATCAAAGATATTATCATTTTCATAATCTTTAAGAATATTATGTTGTATGCCTTCAATTTTTACACACGTATATGTACACACACACACACACACACATTTATGATTGCAAAAGAATATAACTGATATAACAGATTTCGTTTTTTCCACCCATCCTTCCTCATTTCTAATTTCTTTTGTTTGTCTTCTTGTCCAATGATTTCTAGGTCAGCCCAACCCCAGGGTGCATCCGTGCTCTTATGAAGATGCTCTATTGTCCATACTGTCGAGGACTTCCCACTGTGAGACCCTGCAACAACTACTGCCTCAACGTCATGAAGGGCTGCTTGGCCAATCAGGCCGATCTCGACACAGAGTGGAATCTGTTTATAGGTAAGAAGCATTTGAACTGATCCAAGCACTGATTGTGAGAACAGCAAGGGTTTATGATGCTTAATGGGCAGGTGGAAAGTTATGCTGATTTGTAGGGACTGAGAGGATTCAAAACAGCTTTAGCAAATTGTAAACATGGCTTTGCATTTTTTTTTCTGTTTTCATCCTGAAAAATAAGACTCCCTTATATATAGTAAAGAACAGTCCTTTTAAAAAATTGTACAAGCCAGCTGCTCTGAATTACCCTGATCTCTCTGACAATGATAAAAGTAAACTTGCTGAATTTCAGTGTGCTCCTTTTGGAAGAGTCAAGTTACAAAAGAATTTTGTGGGGGAAAAAAATACAGAGTACTGTCCCTTTTTCTTATTTGTATTATGTCAACATAGTCACAGATATCAGTGAGCAACTCCTTCCTTAAGGTTCTAGGATGAAAATAGCTCAATATTTTGGCTATACCTTGTAATCTTTCTCTCTCACTCTGTGAAAAACAAGACTTCAAGCATGCAAGCATGAAACTGCTTTCCAGTCTTTAGAAGGTAGGAAAAAAGGAGATGGGTAAGGTACAGAGAAAGGTCTTTGAATCATGGGTGTTTTGGGGTTTCAGAAATCATTCAAGGGGTGGTGCTGTCCAAAGATATTTCCTAAATAGCTATCCAAGGATAAAAGGACAAATTTTATAGGTAGACTTCTCTCAGGAAAATACACAGGCCTTGAAATAGTAAATGTGTTTTCCCCCCTCTGTCAAATGGCCTTCAAATAAAAGTACATTCAATTGCATTTACTGCAATTACATAGTGACAAGCAGAGTGGCGAAAATAGCAGTGGCATTTGTCAGCCTCAGAGGGCCTTCATCATTTATGCAAACCTCTACACCAGAATGCATGAGTAAGTCTTCTGACAACTAAATTCTAGTAGGCTAGAGAAAAAACACGTAAGATGTTTTAGAATTCAGAGAAACCCAAACTCATTGTGCAAAGGTGTGCTTGGGTTAGAGGTATTCAGCTCTGGCAGTGAAAACCATTGGCTAACTCACTATTTTGCTTCAGAAAGCCACAGAAAACAGGTTTTAAGTTAGGAAAAAAAAGGATTGTAGAGTGGATGGAATCAAATGGACATGATCTAACAAAATCTCAGAATCATTTTAGAAAGAGTAAATTGAAGTGCTATTCTCACTCCCTTCAAGGGGAAAAAAATCTGTATGATCTTGAGTTAGCTTCTTTGAAGAAAGAGGAAGATTTTTTAAAAGTTAATCATCATGGTACACTTCTAACTCAAAAATGGCATGAGTCTTTGCTAAGCTTTTTGTTCTTTTCTAAGATATGGGTGAGGAATATGAATAAAAAATAAGTTTAATCTTCTGTGACGTAAGATTTAAGTGAATTTTGGCAAAAGCAAGGGACACAGATAATGCCAACAAAAATATTCTCACTAAGAAATCTAAAAAGGTATGCATATTTTACAACTAGCCTAAACCTGATTGTATTACAGGGGATTACATAGATCATTTATATCTTTCTGTTGAATCTGCTGTCATTCTTGCACTGTTTGACTATCTGGTCATACTGCAGTTTATTGATGGAAGTGGGCATGTGTATTTTGTTGCTTAGAGCAGAGCATGAGAAAAAATGAAAATATCGGGCCAGCCCATGGCATGGTGGTTAAGGTAGCTAGGTCCTACAATGGCCAACTGCGCTGTTCAAGTCCCAGATTTGGGAGCTCGAGAAGCATGCTGGGAGGATTTGCCTGTGTGTTCAAAATCTCAAACGGAAGTAGAAATGGAAAAGAAGTGCTTACAAAGTGACCATAACCCATGGAGGGCAGTGCTGTTCAGTTTCTTTCTCCCTCTTCCTTTCTTTGTCTCTCTCTGGAGAACACATGTGCCCTCTGGAAAATGAGAGAAAAGAAATCTAAATATGTAGGCGTTTTAACTTTTAAATGCACCAGTGACTTCTTACTTGATTTATTTTTCTCAGGGTTTCATGTCTGACTTCATGTGAATCAGATCTTTATAGTTTTAGTCAATTGAGTTTCCTAGATACCAATTTGATGTGAAGTTGAATGTTTCAAAAAATCATTTGATTTTAAAACTAAAATTTGAACCCATTATGTATTGGCTATACTTTAATAAAAAACTGAACTTAGTGGTTAGTCTTACATAAAAGCATATCATACCCTTTTGTCTATGTCTTTTTCTTTGAATCCTAGGATTCTCTGAGAAAAGTCTTCCAGTTTTCTTCCTCCTGGTGTTGCTATGGCATTGAGAGTTGACCACCAACAGATTCTAGAGCAAAATATGTCTGGGTGTGATGTGTTCATTCACAAACTTATTATGAAAATTAGTAAATGTGTCAGCTCTATTTTCCAAACAGTTATGTCCAAGATAACAGTGTTAAAGTATTCATGAATGTGGTGGCAAGGATCGGTAAGCAAATTCGGAATTGACAAAAAGTACGTGCAATTGTGCTCTCCCTGGTTACACCTACAGCCTTTCACTCCTAGGGTCTATCACCTCTTCATTAAACCTTTCACTCATGTTCCTTATTAAATCCTCATGGCCTCTCTTTCTGCTACATTAATGTCTCTGTTTACATGTCATAGATTTATTTTTTCTTTAATTATCATGTGCTCCTCAAAAATGTTGACAGTGGCATGCTATCGTCTGTCAAGGAAAAAAAAGTCCAATAGGTGGCATAGTCTCATGATCTGTACAATGCCACAAAGTAATTGAAAGTGATTAGTGCCTATTTTTAACTCAGTCATTGTCTGGATTATGTCAAAAGAAAGGCATTTCACTTATAAAGTGAAGTGTTTTAAGTGTTCAGGGAAAAACCCCAGTGGTATTCCATCCACTCTGAAGTTCTGTAGGTTCTTGGGTTTTTTTGAATCTTCAGAAAAAAATTCAGGTGTCTCTTCAGGATGCATTTTCATAGCCCTCCTCCAGGAAGTTTAACTCCGTGCCCTGCACAGACAGTGCTCAAAAAATTTCTTAGCGAGTCACTATTGTAGGAAAAAAGAACTTCACTTCTTCCAGAAAGAGCTTTCATTTTGTCTTAAAGCTCCTGACAACTTTAAAGAAGATGCTACTAGACCCATTTTATAGTAGTTGAAAAGCATCAGTGCACCCCAGGTAGACCCCGTCACCTGCTTTCCAGTAGCAGATGACATTCTGCAGTAAGACGCGTAGCCAGCTTCCACTTGCTGCATCACAATGAACCGATGTGCTGAGCAAGGCAGGAACAGAAGGAATGTGAGAGGGATTCTTTCGCCTCTTCTTGCTACCAGGAATTATGTTGTAGGAGGAAAACCCCATGTAGGCCTAGACCATCTCTGCTTAGGAACTTTTCCCAGGTGTTGCTGGATATTCACACCCAGCTTATCCTTCCCTTCTGAACATTGCCTAAATGCAAAATGTTTTTCTTGGAAAATGTTTACATTAAATTAAAATTTCCTAGAGGGGACCAGTTTGTGAGCAGAACTCATCTTGGATATATCCTGTGGTTATTTTGAGTGTCTGGCATTGATACCAACACTCCACAGATAAGAATTGTTTTTATTTGACAAGAAGCCATGTTGCAGATTACACCTAGCTCGTGAACACAAAAGTCAAGGCTGAAATTACATCTATATAGCTATAGTAAATCTTGCATCTACTTTAAAAGTGAGGCTGTACAGCATAACCTCCTCCAAACATCTGGTACCTTCTAAGATTTTATAGACGATGAGAATCAGAGAGTGATTTTTTTTTTTAAAGGTTTTATTTTTTTTCATTATAGGGCGTGTGCGCTCGCCAGACAGACAGAGAGAGACATAGAGACAGAAAGCGAGAAATCACCCCCCAGGGGAGATGGTCACGCCGCAATCCCTTCTCCTCCATTCTCCAGAGAGTGATTTTTAAAAGAGGTTCCTAGTGTAGGAAAGCAAAGGTTGGTGAGACAAAAGGCAGGAATTTTACTTTTTTCCTACACTACTTTTTAATTACTAAAATGCTAGAGGATGCTTCTTACAGCAGGTATTAAAGTGAATTTACTTTGTCACAATTACATAATCTAAATTTTTTTTTTGGAGAGGTTGTTTATATTTTTTATTTATTTTTTTATTTTTTTATTTTTTTGGTATAGGGTGCTTGCACTCACCAGACAGACAGAGCGAGACAGAGAGAGAGCGAGAAATCACCCCCCAGGGGGGATGGCCACGCCACAGTCCCTTCTCCTCCATTCTCCTCTCAGGATCTCGGGCACGCACGCACATGCGCCCTGCGTGATTTTTAAGCCACTGGGTCCAAGACACAAACCACGGTTGACTACATGGGAGTCCAGCAACATAGCCATTATGCTAACTGCTGGTTCCTAATCTAACCTTTTAGACTATCCAAGTTAATAAAACCATAATAATCATTACATATTAATTCAACTTAACATACTGAGCATGTATATATATGTGTGTGTATATATATATATAGCTGTTAGAAAATTCATAACACCACATGACCAACCGCAGTTCGAGTCCTGGACCTGGTGTCTTCCTTTCTTACTTTCTGTTTCTCTCTGTGTGTTGCTCTCTGGTCAAATTAAAAATAAATAAATAGAATTAAATAATTCTTTAAAAAAAAGAAATTTATCTATATCTACTTATAGACATAGATAGAAATTAGAAAATAAACATTTAGTGTTCTTATGAGTAAACTGAGGTTTTCTTTTATAGATATAGACAGATAACCCTCAGGGAATTTAATAAAGTTAAATAAATTAAAATAAACTGTGATAAATTATTAAGATAATAGAAACCCAGGATACTACCCTGCTTTGGTAATAGAGAAAAAAACAATAGATGAAATTGTATCATATTAGCCTTGTCAAACAGAATAGATGTTGAGTTTCTGTAGCATTTTTAATTGTGACAACACAGCCCTAAATACTTTTGACTTCTCTTGACAATTTGAATAGGCCTAGCATGATCTAGCATGACCTGTCAGTGGTTCTGAAATGATCATTTGTTTTCT